TTGTTGTAGTACAATTTATAGTTTATATTTCGCTTGTTCATAGTACCTATTTAGAATATAAAGAAAGTAAATATTATCTTATAAACCATTGTTAGAAGTATTAAATTTTACTAAAAGATATCTAATTCTTACATTCTTTAAATATTGTAAAAGTATACTCCAAGAAAGGTTTCTCTGTTTTCACTACCTTTTATAATAAGATTTAGAGAGATGGTAAATGGACCTATTTTAGCATACTTCAAACTATTTGATTTAAATTATACTGTTGAAAAAAGAGCTGTATTAAATGCCTTATAATCTTCTAGTAATTAAAAGTATCCGGTATACCGAAGTTCCTTGTAACTCTAACCTATTTTATTGCCGCGCCTCTATAAAAATGCTAATAACTTTTAAGCACTAGACTTTTTTATTAAAAACACCTTTGAAAAGATTTAATGACTGCGCCATTATATATAAAAGTCACAATAGCTAAGTGTACATTTTGTTTTGAACGATATTTGGTGTAGCTGTGTAACTTAAGGTTTATTAAGAAAAAATTAGAAGAGCTCGATTGTGTATTATCGAGAAGTGGATATCCTTGCTAGTATTTTTATCTTCTTCGAAGTTTTTAAAAAACAGGTTAAGTAAGGTAGAGATATACTTCCTAGGTGTAAAATCTAATAAAAGTTATTAATTGCACACAGAAATTAGCCAAGTTAAATGTTTTATTAAATACGATATTTAATAAAGTTATTATAATTATATGTAATTTACTGCTCTTTAAACTTATAAGAAAAAAGTTGTTTCTTTCAAATATATATCTACTTTTCTGATGTGAATTATTTATAAAGGATTGTTTAAAGTAACTATCATTAAAAAAGCGCACAAGAACTTAACTAGTCATATATGTTTAAAATTTGATTTTATTTTATTGTTTATAAATTTACATTCAAAATATTATATAATTTTATAGCTTCAACTACCATATTAATTATATAAAAATGAAAACATAAATTACAATGGCACATGTTGGTTTAGTACAATTTAGAAGCACAAAAACAAGATCTAATCTTTCTATATTTTTTATTTTAGTTATATGTGTTCTACTTTTTATTTAAGACTTGTCACCAAAAAGCATTAAGAACTTAAGCTAATAACCAGTTGCAAAAGTTGTGATGACTTAAAATATTTTGAGAGGGTTTTGCGAATATTATTACTTAACCATACTTAGTTAAGAACTTTAATGTTTAACTGCAAAGGAAATACCATCTTTAGTCCTTAATGACCAAGATAGGAAGTATGCAATGGGTAATTCAATACAAAATTTTCCGTTGCCCTCTAACAAAATTATAAATACTCATCTAATGCATACTTGAACTATAATGTAAATGATTTACAACGATAACGCAGAATTAAAACTCTTCTCCCAGGTTATTGGGTCCTTAGTTTTTCATTAAAGGGCATATACTTAATTTCCTAAATGAAGTTATTAACATTAGAGTGTCGCATATTTTGCTTTTACCTTGTAATAAAAATACTTAACGAATTAATTATCTGCACGTACATTGTTATGAAAATTGCTGTTATCACCATTCTCAGAGATTCTTAGTTATTTTTTCAGTGTAAAAAGTTGTATACATCTTGCTTAGCGTGACTACAACTTATCAAAAATTTGTAAAATAAAATATCCAAGTTTTCTAAAAGTTATTAAAAGTCTTTTACGTCCATTTCCTTAACGACACCACTAAAAACTACCTTAAACACTTCTACGGAGGGAAAGGATATGTATAATAAGATCTCTGTCATGTCTTCAGTTCTTCGCATTTAAAATCTTAATATTACTAGTTCTTATTAACTGAGAATCCTACTAAAAAAAAAATTCCTTAGTTGCGTATTGTTATAGGAGGGACTTAGCATTTTCAATGGGTATTATAAAATGGTTATTATAATTATTAGTAACTTTATCGTCTTTAATACTGTTGTTCACCTGGTTAGCTTGTTATCACTACACTATTACCATAACTAATATTGTTACTAGTTTTAGTATTACTATAATTATTAGTTTTATCACGATACTAATATTATTTCTTGTGTTGTCCTTACTATTTCCATTATGATCTTTAAAAAATTTACCGTTATAATTATTTTTATTACTATATATAATTTTATTACTATTACATAAATTATTATTACTACTAAGGGGGGCCTCCCTCATTTCAGTATCTTTCAATGTATAATCTTTAAAAGTCTAAGCCTTGCCTAAAATTTGTATCGCGAAAGAAGGATTAGCGGTTTGTTGCGCCCCCGATTAGTCATTTGTTCTGGTGGATCTTTTCGTCTTTATAATATATTTTCAGAATTATTTTTTCTTTCCAAGCGAATAACATTTACTGTCGGCATCTCCAACTCCTATTTTAAAAGGGCGTTCGCAGCCAATAGACTAGCGAAAAGTTCCTGTTATTCTGTATTAGAGGAAAAAATACCCATAACAACCTTATAAAATATATATACAATAAAAAGGTTTACGCAAAAAAAATAATATAGATTAAAAAAGTTTATTATTTATATGTAAGGTAAGTAAATAAACAAACAAAATATTTAGTAAGAATGCTCTAAGTATGAATAGTAAGTTGCGCAAAACAAGAAAATAGTTATAGCAAGTTCCTTCCAGCTAAGCCCAGTGATATATCTACAATGTAAATGTAAGATGCATATTTCACTTGTGCAGAATGGTACTATATTTTAACTTTATAAAAAGCTTCCGTGATTCAGGTAATTTACACAGTTTTAATGCACACTTGATATACAAAAGTATATGGTGCGCTAGATAGGCTCAGTTATATAAACCATCTCCACTGAGACTAATTACGTATTAACGCAAATTATAGGCCTACTTCGTCTATACCTACTATTGTTAATAGACAAGCTAATATTTGCTCTTCAACTGTTAAGAGCCTGTATTAAAAAACAAAAAATATCTGTATTTCTAAAATAACTTTTTACTATTGCTAACCTATGGACGAGATGGAAGCCTAATATCTATCAAGAAAAAAAATTAAATTAAAGCCATTATGATTTAAGTAGTAACAGGACTAGAACAAGTTTATATCAAGAAAAGATTAGCTTCGATTTGCTGGTAGAGCGGTATTACAGCGTAAAATAATTTTTTCACCACGCCTTCTTTCGTGTTAAGTATATAATAGTTTGACCTTACCGAAAGACGGTATGCAGACTCTATAAACTCACTAATGGTGCTTACCAAGAAGAAAAGAGAAGAGGCCAGTAACTGAAAGTGAAACTTACAACTACGTTAAAAAATTAGGGTTACACACCTGTACATGGTAATAATCTTACAAGATTATTATCACCAATGAAAATGAACTGTTAGATTTCATTAATTTAAAGGCAAAATGAAAAAGTCAAAGATACAAGTAGGTAAACCGCGTATTTATTTAAATATTTTGTATCCCAGCTACATCTGGCACTCCATAAAAAAGTTCTGCTAAAACCATGTATCTACTTTTTGAGCAAAAGCGCTTCAGATAATCGAAAAATTACCCATTAAGGCGCTGAAAATGAACACTATAAGAAATACAAATTTCGAAAATTAGTGAGTTCAAAAAGTGGTAAGGAAGCTCCTAAAACTAACAAGTTTATTACACGAAATTAAAAGGGATAGTAATAATACATTAACACCTAATAGGATATATGTATTACCCGGTATTTATACAATTAATTTATGTATTACTTTTTCTTTAAATGAATGGTGCCTGATAAGCAGGTTTAAAAAAATAATTATTACCCGATCTTTATACAAATAATTTGTATTACTTTTTCTATAATGAATGGTGCCTGGTAAGCAGGTTTAAAATAATAATAATGAAGCAGAAAATTTCAGAAGGACACAATAAAGTTTAAGAATATTACTATTTAATTTAATCAAGCGGTTGAGTAAGCATGCAAGTATAATAATATAAGTTTGAGCACTTTTCATGGAGAATTGCTTTACACTTGTAACAACTGAGATGCTTAGGCTTTGTTCAGATTATTTTTTTGCAGTAGTCACAGTTCTGCAGGGTAAATGTGGCCTTCAGTTCGAAGAGATGACCAGTGAAAGGCGCGAGGGCAGGCTGGTGTTGCACTTCTTCTTAGCTTCCTTCTCTTTTCTTAAGAGCTGTCTGTCTGTTGCACGCGATGGAGTTTTATTAAAAAGTTTTAACAGTCGTTGTATAAAAAATAATATTTATTTTATAAATTCCATAGAAGTCTTAAATATTTAATTTAGTTCAATTCTTTTTAATAATTAAAAATCGTTTTCTTTATTAATTGACATGTACTTAGAACTAATATTATGAGGCTGTGTTTTTATTATAACGTTAAAATTGATAAAGCTATACAGTACCACGTATCTAGAAGTTATAAATTAAATCAGATAGAAAATGATATAAAATTTATGTAATCAGCAATATCATCAAGCTACAGTTTTATAAACTCAAATAAATATTAAATATAAGCTTTTAGATTTATTAAAATAAATAGTTAACTATTATAGTAATAAAATTTTGGACAGTTATACCGTGTAATAACTAATTTAATAATATATGTATATTTTTATTAATAAAAACCAATAATAACAAACACGTGGATACTAAATAGTAATATTTACAGAGAAAATATTTTTTGTTTAAAAAGTTTTAGTGGCCCACAAAGTGTATAAAAAAATTGAAGGCGTTGAAGATTTACTAAATTATTTTTAAAGTAACAACTTTACTTTGTTGGCGGGTTTAAAATACTAGTGCAAATGTGTATTATAAAACAGCCAGTTAACATAATGTATGATATTAATTTTGTTTTGAAAGTTTGTTAACTGTTATTATTTATGTTACTTTTTAATATTTTTATTTTAATTGCATATATTAATATAATAAAACTTGTATTATTATTCTGTTTTAGTAATAAAAGTTTAACAAGTGGTTAGAAGTAATATACAAAAAATCCAGAATTTAGAGAAGGTACCTTTTTTCCGGATCGAATTCGTCAGGAACCTAAAAATATAATTATTTAATAATAAAATTATTGCTACAACTAATTTCATTAACATCAACAAAAAAAATATTGATAAGTGCGTTTACTAGAAAATCTTTATCTGCGCTGATATTAGCGCTCCGGTGAGAGTGAGGCAACATTTTAATGACTATTTTCACCAGTAAGCACGAAACTAGAAGCATGCGTCCATAGGCGTCCGCCAATCGAACAGACCTGTATCCTTAATATAAGCACAGCATTAATAGTAATAGTAACAATAACAATAATAATAAAAGACCTTTACTAATGCAGGTAAGCGGTAAGGACGACTGGCCTATAAATGTGGCCCCGCCAAAGGAATTAATCGAATAAACAGAGAGCCTTAATATTGTGGATTCGGGAGCAATTACCTTTATAATAATAATATATACTGCAAAATAAGTAACTTGATACATATAAACACTTATTTTATTAGTGTATTATTTATAAAAAAATTATTAATATATGAAAGTACAAATAAATATTAGGCAAGAATAATAGAATAAGAAGAACAGGACATTTTTTTAAAAGATATTTTGCAGGGGACAAATAGAGGGCTATGGTGTAGTACATCCTTGTAGATATCAATAGTTTTCTTATGATTTATTCCGGCGGGCCCAAAAACTTCCACTTGAATAAACTTTTTGAGACAATCAAATCGCTCGTTCACCACGTGGTTTTCATACAAAAACTTGATGCAATTGTATAAATCCAGTATCACTCTTTAAACTCTAGTGGTTGGTCGTTTACCTTAATTTCTAAGATAAAGGTTGGGGAAGCTGAGAGGGTTCGCCAAGTTTATTGGATTGTAGCAGTTTCGGAGGGCAGCGGTTTCGCATGAAATGCGGTTTCAGCACGTAACTTATTTATTTATAATTATTATCATTATTATTTTTTTAACCTCAATATCCGCAATTCCCATTATCGCGAAACTTTCCTCTGTAGAGTTGCATAAAAGTATCTTTAGAGATACAATCAACAATGAAATAACTAACCAAGAAGAGACATGTACCGGAAAGATGATAATTCATAGCAACATACTGATTCCCACAATTCCAAAACGGAACGGGATTAAAGTTTGAATAGTTGATACGCAACGCTAATAAAATATATAAGTATGATTATAATACAAAATATAATGAAGCCTTACTTATAATACTTTATAAACTTATAAACAAGTTTTAACATTATATATCCCACTTGAAGGATAAACGTACACTATGCGATCTATATTATAAGAGAAAAGTTCTTCGGGGTCCAAGTGGATGCTTCTAACAGCCTTGTGTTCGGGAAGCAGAATAGTGTCAAAATGCTGAACGTCTATTATTATTATGGTACATTAAGCGTAGGTCTTCTCTCATATTATATTAAAAAAGTAAATAGGTGATCTCCACGTGGCGAACCCAAAATTTTGTCGGTGGAGAGTAGCCTTTAGGGGCCCATAAGTTTTTCCAGCGACGAGGATAACGCGTTGTGCTCTTCCCTTGGAACCAGTTCTGAAGGTTTCCGAGCATGAATGGTCGAAAATGCTTCCAACCAATCGTTTGCCAGCTATTTTTTGTATAAAATTTCAAATATACTTTTCATAATTATTACTCTATATAGTTTACATTAAAAGTATATATCAATTAGTTATAATATACAATTGATTTTATTTAAAATCCTATAATGGTATTATAATTTTTCAAATAAGCAACTTTAAAGTTTACTAAGTATAAAATAGCTTTCACCCCTAATAGACCTAAAATTAAATTCCTTGAATATATTTTTATAATACATTTTAAAGTTGAAATTATGTATATGTATAAAGCTATACCAATTTTCTGTTACGGGTGCTTGCTAGAACAAACCGAGTAGAAAGAAAAACCTCTAATTTCGGATTAGAAAAAGAGAGCTGAAGTTCATAGGCGCTAATTTTTTCTACAAGAGGGTAATTAAATGTAAACAAAAATAATAATATTGATTAAGAGTTATAATAAGTACCAACAGATTTCAAACTTTCTAAGGAAAAGACAAACCGTCGCTCTCTGGACAGTTCCGGGATCTGCAAAGCTTCAGTATCCTACATAAGCCAAGGATTGTATTAAATACTTTGGAGCATTTTTAATGATAATAACACACGAGAAGGTCGACGCAGTAACTTGGGAAGAGCCCTGTTTGTCCCAACTGGCGCCCTTCCCACATGCCATTGGTATTCTTTTTCACCACAGCGACGGGGACATCCTTTATGCGTACGTAACCTCTACACTTTCAAAATGGGTACAAAAGGATACCTTAATAAGCCGTAATTCGTCTGGTCCTTGCGGTTCATAATGAAAGATGGCCACGTGATTATTAAAGTTCTTTTGATGGTTGAGGCCAATACATTTTTATAACTACTAGTGTTTTATAAAGGTACTAACTTGGGTTTCATTTGTTTCATTTTGCAATTGGGGGTAAACAGATAAGTAAAGATTGCTGTTAGGTAGTTGTTGTCGAGCGATCTCCTTTGGTTATAGTATAGTAAGGTAATAATTTTAAATATAAAAAATAGAATTTTCAGGTTACATAATAACTCTTATACCATTTAATGATATGGCGAATATACACAACAATGAAAGGACCTCTTCTGTAAGAAGGTGACATACTTGGTACGGTTATATATGGAATGCTCTTTATAGAAGCACAAAAGGGCTTCCAGAGTTTCAAACTTTTGAAAACTTTTTTCCACGTGGACCATCCGGCCTTCAATAGCTAGTCGACAGCGTTTAATTTCCTTTCCGCTTCTTTTGATTGATAATAATATTACAAAAAATAAAAGCTCTAAGGTCTTTTTAAAATAATTAGTGACACTTTTTTTTCAAGTTTTCCTTATAATACTAATATACAAGGCTTTTCTTTGAAAAAAGGAGACTTATTTACCTATCAAATATTTATTTAAACAGTGTTTATTGTCCGCAACCATCAGTATATTAATTATTGTTTCTCTAGTAATTTTACTCTAAATTCCATATTTTACATACATAATACGTGCTTATTTATTTTAATTACCATTTAATTCAGTTCTTTATTTGAGAAGTAAATAAATGTACAGCAATTGCTTCTACACTTTAAAATATAGGGTCTTTCTATATATATTTGGTATGTTATGGCAAATTAGTTGTTTTCGTTTTTATAAAATAGTAAAAAAAGAGTTTCATAATAATTAGTTTCATTAAGAAAACGATAACGCTTAATGTAAAACAATTACAGCATTAGTATTTCCTTATGAAACAATTATTACAGCTTAATTAGTGCAATTATGTTTTTAATATTATAGAAGCAGTTAAATACTTTTAAATGCAAAATTACATCAGTATCCCGTAAATTAACCATTTTATTTCGTGCACCCACTTATAAAAAACATGTCTTAAGTAGTAACTAAAAAATTTTTATTTGTTCGATAGAGCCTAGAAATTTTCTGTTTTTAAAAGAGTAGATTACAAAAATTTTTTAATAAAAACTAACGAAGGCAAGTGCCTTCTTGTGTTACCTTTAAACCTCAAACTACCGATTCTCACTCTCGTGTTACCTACTCACTTAACTTAATGAATGCTCAACCCTCATCTCTTAATTTCTCGCTATTTCTATGAAAAAAGGAATAATATGAGGACCTAAAAGATAATGTAAAATGTTCCGTTAGTTGATCATAGCTGATTAAAAAACTTTCATCCAACCGACCCTGATTGAGGATCTTTATAAAATAATAACATTAAAATAATAAAATTTTATAATAAGTATTATTACTTTTCCAAGTTCAGATGATTCTAAAAACCAACCAGATGGTGAATTTTCTTCAAATATTACATTTTTAAAAGGGTTCTTTTAGGGAAAAAATACATTAATAGTTTAAGAAAATATGGAGAGAAACAGTAATTACTCACACAAACAATTGGTATTGAAAGCCTGCAAGTTTGAGCATCCTCAGCGGATATGTTGTTATCCTGATAGTACTAGTTAAAATCAAGTTAATAACTAAATATTGTTAGATAACAATTAGAATAGATAAACTTACTGCTATCAACTCAATAACTGAACTAAATTTTTCTTTTTCGGCTATAAAATACAACTTTTTGTTAACATCATAATATATTTTTAAATGTTTGGTAAAGCGGTCCCTAAAAAAAATTTAATTTACAATAAGAAGTTCATAATTTTACCAAGACTGCTAATAACCACTGATCGAAATGAAAAAGAACTTAAAAAAAAATACGGAATTTTTACCAATACGTCAGTGCATAGGGCTCCCCCTGGCAATCACGCGGTCTTACCAAGAAGGCGCCACACACACCTTTTGCCTCTGCAAGAGTAGAAGCCTCTTGGCGAGCCACGTTGGGATGATACCAACTATATATTCATTAGTGTTAGTAAAGGCAAAAAAAAAGAATTTTGTTTTAAACTTATCAATAAAAGGTATAACTTGCAGTTGTAAAGCTAACTTTCATAAAATATTTATATACTAATATTCACAAAGATAGTAAGAGCAAGTTTTCTTTTTTTTTAAATAAGTATATGAGGTCAAATTAAAATAGAAAACCATTGCGTAAAATGTTCTTCGTTACGTTCATGTGTATGAATACTTTCACTGTCTTCTTGGTTGTCATCACGTTCAAGTTGGATAATAATAAATTCTGTTTTGGTTAACACGCAGTAGAACTTTTCATACTAAATCAATAATAAAACTGGTACTAATTGCAAAAGAAACAATTATACAATCTTGAAATAAGATAAAAAAATAAATAGGGGGAGTGTAGAAGTTTAATAATGAAAGTGTGCCTTTATACATAAAAAATATATATATCATTTTATATAATTTATAATTTCTTCATTAATGTTAATAATATAGAAATCTATTTAAATATATTGATTTAACATGTATTTCATAAAAATTGTGAGTCTATTATAAATAATTCAAACAAACCATTGCAGTAGCTGCATCAAAGAGAGAAAGTTCCCCTTCTTTATAAATATGTCCAAATACGTCGTTTAAAGTAGGAGCTTTCCAGTGCTCATTATCATTTATTTTAAAGTTCTTGAGTAATAATTATAGTTTAATGATTTTGTTTTAAAAGATCAAAGAGGATAAGTATTCAAAGAAAGTCGAAACCAACCTATAACACTAATTATATTACAACTGGATATATTAAAGCACTATATTGATACCATTAAGACTAATACTCTTTAAAAGTAAATCATTGTTATCGTAAGTCTCGTTAGGCTCTTAATAGTATTGTGATAGAATATAAGGTGTAAATATAAAGCTAAAGCACATTTAAACTACTTCAACCTAGCTAGTTCACATAAATTATATAAGTATAATGCCACACAACTTTTATGATTATTTTCCCCTTTAAATCTAATGGAAACAATGAAGTCCACGTAGTCGAAAGGGTAGCATCGAGGTGTATTGAATCGGCAAAAAATTCCAATAAAATTCGAGCCATTAAATTTTGTCCAAGTTCGCTAAAATGATTCTCGATGGAGAGGATCAGCGGAAAGTCGGAGGCCGCGAAGGCATAACGCTGAATGGTGGAAACAATATCCCGAAAAGTGCTCCAAGCACCTGGACGCCGTTTTGTTCTAACGATGGGGAGGAGTGGCCGTCCCAGCACTCAACTGCGAGTATAGAAAAGTTATAAACAAAATTTTCACTCCAGGACCTTTAATATATTATTGGTTTTATAAAAACGCACAATAATGTACAGAAACCGAGGCCAAAAATTTAACAGAAACCTTTTTATATGCAAATAATTACTTTTAATGCAACGACAACCATCTTTTAGCACATTTATGATGCCTTCTAAAGTAGTTTCCTTGGGACCTTGAATTCTCGGAAAATATCTTAACGCAGTTTAAATTAGTTCGCATTAAATCCCAAGTCAAAACTTATAATAAATTTTAATATGTATAAAATTATATTACTGAAGGTACAAATAAGGCCCGTACTTACTCTAAAAGTTAAATTATAAACCATAAAGAAACTTGCAAGTAAGGTGTTAGAGGAAGTTTTAACTGGCATAAAAATAGTGCACGCGAAAGTCATAGCAAAGATTTTGTTATGCACTTTCGAAAGCGATCTAAACAACTTTAATGTTATATATAAAGCTATGCGCTGAAGTAGTAATATATTAATATATATATAAGTTTATTTCAAAATTATTGTTAAATTTTTTCTAGTAGAAAATAAGCTCTAAATTTATTTTAAATGCAGCTCATATTGTTAGCGCTATGCTAATTTCCAAGGTTGTCCCTTATTAGTAATGCTGGGAAAGAGTTTTTAGATACAATTACTTTTTTCTTTGTTTAATATTCTTACTCTTAAGTATATTTTTAAACGCATTAGACCTGAGAACATAAATATTGTTATAAATGAAAGTTGGATACAAATTCTAATAAATTATTCTATTTTCTGGCAAATATTTTTTTTAAGCGCTAGAAAAAAGTTATTACGGCACAAGTCAAAAGGTTAATAACTTATACATACTATAAAAAGACTTGGTCATACATACTAAGGTTTTTGTTATAATATTACACTGGTAACGCATATTAGGAAAATATATTTTTTTGGCCGTATTAGCTTTTTATGCTCCCTAATATTTTTATAAATGTTTTTGATGGAAGTATACGAAGTGAAGTATGAAGAGGTTAATGATAAAGTGGTATACGAGCTTCCGATTAAAAAAAAATTCCACTGAAAAAAATGCGTATTTTTCGGAGGTGGAAAAAAGGTTTGAGACTTTAAAAAACTAAATGAGAGGACGGCAACAAATTAGACTTACTTTGTTTTTATTAAAAGATAACAGTAAATGATTGTAAATATATAACCATAAAATATAGTAACAACGAGTAGCAAACGGGAAAAATATATTAGGTTACTACGTATTGTAGGAAGTAGATATAAAGTAATCAGTCATTGGCAGCGTCATGTTTTGGTATACGTCTAGAGCACCCCAATGAAACCAATCGTTTTGCGAACTCAATAAGTATTTTGTAAATGAGTCGAGATTCCAGTCGCAGTTTTCACTATTAGATATTTATAAGATAAAACTGTTAAATCAACAGAAAAATTAGTAAAAGGAAAATAACCATAGTTTTTATAGTAACATTCATTAACTGAAAAATAATTTTTTAAATCAATTTTAGACCTTTTTTAACAAAAAAACGTTTTTACACATAGTAAAACAATTATGAAGTTCTTTAGTAATATGCTAACCCGATTTTTTATATAAATTACAGTAATGGCTTTTCTCCACTCACTGTTTTTATTTATAAAATAAATATCTCATAAAGTGCAGTTTTTTAAATTCGTAGTAAGTTTATGTTAAATAGAATATACCAAGCTTTGAATAAACACAGCCGTTGAAAAATTCAAACTCAGTAACTAATCATATACATAACTTCAAGATGGTTTAAAATAATTTAAAATAAGTAATGTTTACTAATTTTACAGAGCACTTTTTTATCATAATCGTACCATTTACTTTTTTGTTAACTTGACTTTGATATTTAAATTCAGAAGCTACTAATAATAATATTAAGGAACAGCACTTTTATTATAATATAAATAAGTTAAGCTTTACAGACAATTTATTAAATTGGTAAATATTACCCCGTTTGTGACAATTATTGACTTATTACTTTATAATTAATTAAACCTTCGTGTTTTTGTGTCAGTTTAAGGAGAGAAATATTATAAAAGTAAAAAGTCAAAACTAGTAAAGAAGAAAAGCTAGTTTTAATATTAGGAAAAATGTTTTAAACCAGCGTTGAAAACTACGAAAATACTCAGAAGTATTGTTCTAAATTATTTTTTTTTTTTAAAATGTAAAATTAATATTAAAGTTTTTATTTTAAAAAACCTTATCTCCTTATAATAATAATGAATAAGACGCTAGCTATAGAAACATGAAGTTTTGTCGGAGTTATGGCGTTTTGCCAACTGCAAGTAGTTTATCAAATATTATTATAATAAAAGATATAATTGATTCTAAAATACTAAAAGCCAGTTGTACAATATTTAATAATATATATATATATATAAACATTATTTATGAATCTATAAGTGTCTTGAAAAATCACCTCATAGATGAAAAGGTCGACATTAAGAAGTAAATTCTGTCAGTGTCCTTAACCAAGTCAACTTCCTTAAAAAATTGGTTTAACTAACTAAACTGAAAATAAAGGGCAAGTTTTCTATTAATTTTATGAAAAAGAACAGATAATATTCATTTATTTGGTCTAACTTATTTTGTATGTAGTAACAATAATAAAAGTGCCTGTTGCTCCCTGATTAGAAACGTTATGAATTGTTCACGAGAAATAACAAGTTTATCTCCCTTCTTAATTTTATATATGTTGAATAAAGTAAGAATTTCTTTAGTTCCCGATTGTAGCAATTCATGATAAAGTAATAAAAAAGTTTTATAAGTGATGCCCCCAGTTTCTTCTTTCTTTTTTTATAGTTTTGTAAAAATAAATCAATGTAGATATTAATCGATAACTGTTACCTCTTCAAAAAATTTTTTAAAAGATCTGACCTCGAAGTTGGAAAGCCTACTTTTTGTAACAGAAGGCGAATGTCTTCAAGGTGTACAGTTTTTCTTCCTTGCGCAATATGGGTAAAACGTAGGTATAATATCCTATAGTTTAACAATTTAATAAAATAATACTATTTTTTTTATACAAATTAATAATATTT